TTTTCGCCTTCGAAGCGGCGCCTTTCGCCTTAGAAACGCCGCTTTGGCCAGCGGTTGCGGATTTTCTTGCGGCTGCCGGCTTCTTTTTCGCGGCGGCCGCCTTCTTGTCCTTGGTAGCTGCAGACGGTTTTGCCTTAGACGGTGATGATGCGGTCGCTGCCGATGCTGCCTTTTTACCCTTACCCGCGGCGGTGCTCTTCTTCACCTTCGCCGACACCGAGCTAGCGGCGGACGCGCCGCTCTTTGCGCCACCGCTGCTCTTACCCGTCGACGGTTTCTTAGAGGCGGACGATTTTGATTCAAGCTTAAAGGAACCGGAAGCCCCCTTGCCCTTTGTCTGTATAAGCGCACCCGATTCGACTGCGCTCTTCAGGTACTTTCTGATGAACGGAGCTAGTTTTTCAGCGTCGACTTTATATTGAGCGGCAATATATTTTTTTATCGCTTGCAAAGATGATCCACTGCGCTCTTTCAGCTCTTTAATTGCGCTGGTGACCATTTCGGAAGTCTTCGGATGAGTGGGTTTCGCCTTGGGCTTCTTTGCACCACCTGCTGCAGTAGCGGCGGCCTTCGGTTTTTTCGCCGGAGTCGCCGGAGCGGGAGTTTCGGAAGCTACTGCTGTATCTGCCATTACTTCGTAGTAGTAGTAGTATTAGATCACAAACGAACTACAAACACTGACTCACACAACTCGCGATAGATGATAATAACAAAGGAAAATTGTAAATTGTTGTTATATATCGTACACAAATTGATATTACGTAGGATAATACACAGGTGGCGACAGTGGTGGTTCATCTCCTTGTGGAGGTTTTCATGTGTCGAGGAGACCCTCTTTACATGGGCGGCATCTCAGGAGGACACGACCCCCCGGTCCTGGGTGCTGCGTTGGCAGCTTATATGTAGGTGTATTGCGCACCTCGCGCCATCACGTCGAGTGTCGGGACGCTCACTCACCCCCGGCGTCCCCTGTGCCGGGCAGTGAGCGTAGAAGTTCACGTGGGAGTGGTCGCCCGTCAGGTGGGCGGGCGTGGAGGGGAGCAAGATTTTGAAGGTGTAGGTGTGGCCCGTTGTCTGCGCGGTCGAACAACCGTCTCGCAGAACGGACCACAAAATCATGAATGGTTTCGACCTTGAGGTCGCGAGAAATGATGTCATTTCTGACGTAGCGACCGGCTCCCACGATCACCCGGAGCGCAAGATTTTGCTGGGCCTGCAACCTCTTGCGCTGAGTGGCCGAGGTCAACGCGTACCAGGCTGGTGCTGCGTAGGTCAGCCGCGAGCGGATGTAGGTTTTGTAGATACCTATTTTCGTTCTTGTTGGGAGTTTGGATGCCAGTATAGGGTATAGTTTCGCTCGCGCAGCTCTGGCCTGTCTCACAACGTGATTGACCATCGGGGTCATGCGCAGCGAGCGATCTATCTGGCATCCTAGGTACGTAATGGTACTACTCCAACCCACATCCTGCCCGCGGAGTTGCAGGGTTGGTGGTGTTCTGGCCAGCCTGGTCATGAAGGCGACGGTCTTCCCGACGTTGACCGCCAGCCTCCATTTGTCCAGCCACTCAGGCAAGAGGTCGAGTACCCGCTGCAATTTCTTAGCAGCTATGTCCACCCGACGTGATGACGCGAAGTACGCACTGTCGTCGGCGTACAAGGCTAGGACAACGTCATCCTCCCATTCCTCCAGATGGCCTTGGAGGGTGGGGATGTCGTTGGTGTAGACCGCGTACAGGTGCGGTGATAGGCAGCTGCCCTGTGGCACTCCCGCAGAAATCGGTCGTGCCGCCGAAACAGCCCCTTCCAAGGAGACATGGAAGCTCCGCCCTTCCAGGAATGACGCTATTAACCGCACAAGCATGGGCGGTAAAGTGGTGTGCTGAATGAGTTTATAAACTAGCCCTGCGTGCCACACCCTGTCGAAGGCCTTCTCCATGTCGAGAAGGACCCCCACACAGATGCGGCCGAAGTTATGTTCGGCCGCAAGATAGTGCAGCACGCGGGCCAGCTGAGAGGTTGTGGAATGTCCCCTGCGGAAGCCAAATTGCTCCTCACGCAGGGTAACATGTGGGAGAACCCTGTTCAGGGTGATTTTTTCAAAAAGTTTTGCTATGTGCGGCATTAGCGTTATGGGGCGGTAGCTGGCCGGGAACCTCCTATCTTTTCCCGGCTTCGGCAGCACGATGATTCTGCCCTGCTTCCATATGGTCGGGAAGTGGCCAGTCCGCAGGATGCCATTATACAGACTGGTGAGTGCCACTATTACCCTTCTGGGCAGCTGCTTTATGGCAATGGTGGTAATGCCGTCGTAACCCGGCGCTTTACGGCTAGGTAGGCGCATAATAGTGCGCCTTACCTCTGCTGGAGATATGAAATCGCCGCCTCGCAATGGCGGCGCCGGGTTAGAGAGGTATTCCCGTACGCGGTCCTCTATGCCTTGTACGTGGTCTGCGTACCCCTCTGCTATGCTGTTGGGTATGAACTGTTGTTCTAGGTGCTGTGCCATCAGGTCCGCTCTAGGTTGGGCGTCGTAAATCCTACTCCCCGTGCTGTCCACCAGTGGGCAGACAGGTGGTGGTGTCTTGGTGAGCTGCCGGTTGAGGAGATGCAGGGAGGCGGGTGTCTCCGAGGCTTCGTCGACTCGCCTCTCCCATGCTTCTCCCCTGTAAGCTCTCATTGCTTCCGACAGCTCTTCCGTCATAGCGTTTAGTTTAGTTTTTATCCGTGGGCATCGTGTCCGTGCCCAGAGTCTCCTCATCTTCCGCTTCTCGGACAGGAGCGTTTGGAGATTGCGTGGGAGTCCCTCCTTCCCGCGCCCCGTGGAGACAGGGTGAGAGTGGAGTTGGAGTTTATCTTTTATAGTGTTGTGAAGATGTAGGGCCGCAGTCTCCACATCTTCACTGGTGGTAATTGGGGCGCAAGGTTGGAAGTCCTCCAGCGCACTACGAAAGCGGGTCCAATTTGTCTTCATTCGGAGACTTCTGGGCATCATGGCATCCGCACTGGTGTCGATAGTAATCAGCACGGGGAGGTGTTGTGTATCTATGTCATACAACACTTCTAACCGTGTTGTATACGGCACTAGATGACACAGCACAATGTCAAGAACATCGGGCTTATGTTCTGGCTTTGTCGGGATATGGGTGGGCTCATCAGGGCCCAGCACCTCGTACCCCCACTCCTCGGCGTCGTCGAACAGTTTCCTGCCGGGTGGTGTGATCAGCGCGGAGCCCCAAGCGGGATGTTTCGCGTTGAGGTCTCCGGCGATAATTGCAGGTGTCGTGGAGTCAAATATGGTACGTATGTCTTGGGGGGCAAGTGAGGTGCCGGGAGGTCTGTAGGCAGCAAAGATTCTAATTTCTCTGGTGCCTACCCTCAGCCTTACACCCTTGGTTCTGGTGGATATAAACTGTGTATTGGTGCCAACTTCTTCGTGCATGACGTCCCTCCTCACAAGGACCGCAGTACCTCTGTACGCGCAATTTGGATATTGTGCTGCTGGACCAGGGTTCTCAGGTCGGCGACCTTCCCTAAGATGCCGCCGGGGTTCCAATAACACATCCTAAGTGGATGGCCTGCTGACGGAGGTTAACTGGGCTAAGGCCGTTAGGATGGCCGAAAGGGGGTTGGTGCCGGTGGTCATGGCAGTCAGGACCTCTCCTAAGATCCTGATTACCACGCCCACCAGTTGAGCGAGGGCCTCCTCGATGGTGGTTGGTGCCTGGGGCTGTAATGGGGGAGCGACAGTTATTGTCTTTTTGGGTGGGCGTTGATCTCGGGGTTGGAGTGCAGATTGCTCGTTCTGATTTGATGGAGGGAATGTATACCGCGGTTGTGGCAGTGATTGCTGTTGTTGTGTGGTAGTGACGAGTGGTGGAAGAGGAGTCGAAGTACCACCCACTTGAGCTGGTTGGGTGGTTGCCTTCTTCTTCTTCTTCTTCCTTCCTCTCTTTTTCTTTGGGCGCTCTGTGCGCTCCGTGGCGTTATTCGCCGGTGGTGCTAAAGTCGCCCCGGTCGTAACAAATGTGGTTGGTGCAGGTGGGATTGTTACCTGCCGCTGTTGCGGTTGCGGTTCCTGCCTTTGCAGGTGTTGCTGCTGTGAATATTGCTGCTGTTGGGGTGGGTAGTACTGAGGTTTTTGAGGTGGTGGAGGTTGCCAATGCGGTGCAGGTGGTTGGCTTTGTAGTGGGGGTGGTTGACGTTGCGGTGCTCGTGTTGTTTGCGCGGGGATAGGGGGTTGCATATTAATCCCCCTCTTCCTTGCAATTCGCTGCAACACTGGGCACCGCCTGTCATTCGCCGAGTGATCTTTCCCGCAGTTTGCGCATTTAGGTTGCGCATCCCGCGGTTGTGGGCATGCTGAGGCCAGGTGGTCACCTGCACAGCGTACACATTTGAAGGGTCGGTAGCAGTTGTAGGATGCGTGTCCGAACCCTTGACACCTGTGACACTGCGCAGGGCCAATTCTGCCTGTCCAGCCTTCAATTGTTACTCCCGGCATGTAAAGGAGCTCATCAATTTGGTATAATCTGTTGAGATCTTCGGGGCTTAGGTGACTCATTTTCACGTGAAACAGGCAGCCAGGCCTGCCTCTTTTTGGTGGAATTGACCGTACAAATGTAACTGGAAAGCCCTTCTCTATGAGGGCCTCCTGTATGTCTTTAGGGTCTGTATCGGCAGGGAGCCCTCTTAACCCCACCTTCGTGGGTTGCTCCTCCTGTGGGGCGTAGCAATACCACATGAAGGTGGCATCCTCCTTGCTTTTATCGATGAGGTAGCGCTGGACCTTCCGATACTCGTCGTCGGACTGGGGCCGAAAACGGACTCCCTTCCCAAACGGGCGAGCATTGGGGGCGTGACCCAAAAGTTGATGTATGATTTTGAAGTGCTTCGCCCAGTTGGGGAAGCACTCCACTATAATAGGAGGGTATTTGGCCTGGTTATTTACTGGCTGTTGTTCTTTCTGTGCAGGTGGTGGTGGAGGTGATGGTGGCGCTGACCTTGGCGCTGCTGCAATTTGCGCATAAGAGTCCGGCGCTGAAGATGGACCAGGTATGGGCTCCTGGTTTGCAGGTTGGGAGTCTTGAATTGGGGCTAGAGTGGCGTAGGACGTATTGTCCCACTCTCTCTCTCCTTCCGGGTCTTCCTCACCGAAATCCTGCATGTCAGCGGTGCAGGCCGGAGAGGTGGTTGGAGACGGTGAGTTAGGCGGTCTGTTATGTCTTACCACAGGTTGTGGGGCTTGTATCTCAGGTGGTGTGGCAGAGGCAGAAGGCGATGCCGAATCAGATAGTGAGTCTGATCCGGCTCTCAGCCTTTTCTCCTCTTGCAGCTGGTCTTGTTCTATCTCAGGAGGTGTACGTCTCCGCGAGGCTAGGCTCCGGCGTGGTAATGGAGCTAGTTCTGCGCTCGGTGAAGACACAGCTTCACCTGCGCCGAGCGCGGCGCCGGGCGCCGGTATACTGCCTATTCGCCTCGGGAGTTGGCTGTAAGGTGGGAGCACTCTAGATCTCTCAGGAGCGAAGAGGTCTCGCTCCATGAGGGGCCTGTCGAGTACTCCCGGACGCCTATCAGGTGGTTTACGGCGTGTTGGGGGAGGTTCCCCCTTGTCCGACATTACTAATTAATTATGCTCAGCCCTTAGCTATCACACACCTTACTCCCCTCAGCGCGTGCAACCACACCGGGTGAGACCCGTGAGGGAGGCCCAGCGAGGCGCCCGCGAGCAGGGAGGGGTGTGTGAGGCGCAGATGGGATGGGCGTAATCTCACTCAAATGCGGAACACTTGCAATCACTTTTTGTTATAAAAAGAGGGTACAGTGTACAAAAAGGTAAAACGTAAAGTAGGGCACAGCGTAAGTAGTGACCTTTACGCTTACCTTATTAACAGTCCGGCGCAGGAAATGCGCCAGCGACGCCTCGACGCCAAACGGAGCGAACTCGACGTCGGCGGAGTCAATCACTAGCACAACACGTACACAACACAGGAGCGCACTAGACACGTCCGCACTGTAGCACGGCCCGCGACGAACTGGTGAGGTGGCGACAGTGGTGGTTCATCTCCTTGTGGAGGTTTTCATGTGTCGAGGAGACCCTCTTTACATGGGCGGCATCTCAGGAGGACACGACCCCCCGGTCCTGGGTGCTGCGTTGGCAGCTTATATGTAGGTGTATTGCGCACCTCGCGCCATCACGTCGAGTGTCGGGACGCTCACTCACCCCCGGCGTCCCCTGTGCCGGGCAGTGAGCGTAGAAGTTCACGTGGGAGTGGTCGCCCGTCAGGTGGGCGGGCGTGGAGGGGAGCAAGATTTTGAAGGTGTAGGTGTGGCCCGTTGTCTGCGCGGTCGAACAACCGTCTCGCAGAACGGACCACAAAATCATGAATGGTTTCGACCTTGAGGTCGCGAGAAATGATGTCATTCCTGACGTAGCGACCGGCTCCCACGATCACCCGGAGCGCAAGATTTTGCTGGGCCTGCAACCTCTTGCGCTGAGTGGCCGAGGTCAACGCGTACCAGGCTGGTGCTGCGTAGGTCAGCCGCGAGCGGATGTAGGTTTTGTAGATACCTATTTTCGTTCTTGTTGGGAGTTTGGATGCCAGTATAGGGTATAGTTTCGCTCGCGCTGCTCTGGCCTGTCTCACAACGTGATTGACCATCGGGGTCATGCGCAGCGAGCGATCTATCTGGCATCCTAGGTACGTAATGGTACTACTCCAACCCACATCCTGCCCGCGGAGTTGCAGAGTTGGTGGTGTTCTGGCCAGCCTGGTCATGAAGGCGACGGTCTTCCCGACATTGACCGCCAGCCTCCATTTGTCCAGCCACTCAGGCAAGAGGTCGAGTACCCGCTGCAATTTCTTAGCAGCTATGTCCACCCGACGTGATGACGCGAAGTACGCACTGTCGTCGGCGTACAAGGCTAGGACAACGTCATCCTCCCATTCCTCCAGATGGCCTTGGAGGGTGGGGATGTCGTTGGTGTAGACCGCGTACAGGTGCGGTGATAGGCAGCTGCCCTGTGGCACTCCCGCAGAAATCGGTCGTGCCGCCGAAACAGCCCCTTCCAAGGAGACATGGAAGCTCCGCCCCTCCAGGAATGACGCTATTAACCGCACAAGCATGGGCGGTAAAGTGGTGTGCTGAATGAGTTTATAAACTAGCCCTGCGTGCCACACCCTGTCGAAGGCCTTCTCCATGTCGAGAAGGACCCCCACACAGATGCGGCCGAAGTTATATTCGGCCGCAAGATAGTGCAGCACGCGGGCCAGCTGAGAGGTTGTGGAATGTCCCCTGCGGAAGCCAAATTGCTCCTCACGCAGGGTAACATGTGGGAGAACCCTGTTCAGGGTGATTTTTTCAAAAAGTTTTGCTATGTGCGGCAATAGCGTTATGGGGCGGTAGCTGGCCGGGAACCTCCTATCTTTTCCCGGCTTCGGCAGCACGATGATTCTGCCCTGCTTCCATATGGACGGGAAGTGGCCAGTCCGCAGGATGCCATTATACAGACTGGTGAGTGCCACTATTACCCTTCTGGGCAGCTGCTTTATGGCAATGGTGGTAATGCCGTCGTAACCCGGCGCTTTACGGCTAGGTAGGCGCATGATAGTGCGCCTTACCTCTGCTGGAGATATGAAATCGCCGCCTCGCAATGGCGGCGCCGGGTTAGAGAGGTATTCCCGTACGCGGTCCTCTATGCCTTGTACGTGGTCTGCGTACCCCTCTGCTATGCTGTTGGGTATGAACTGTTGTTCTAGGTGCTGTGCCATCAAGTCCGCTCTAGGTTGGGCGTCGTAAATCCTACTCCCCGTGCTGTCCACCAGTGGGCAGACAGGTGGTGGTGTCTTGGAGAGCTGCCGGTTGAGGAGATGCAGGGAGGCGGGTGTCTCCGAGGCTTCGTCGACTCGCCTCTCCCATGCTTCTCCCCTGTAAGCTCTCATTGCTTCCGACAGCTCTTCCGTCATAGCATTTAGTTTGGTTTTGATCCGTGGGCATCGTGTCCGTGCCCAAAGCCTCCTCATCTTCCGCTTCTCGGATAGAAGCGTTTGCAGATTGCGTGGGAGTCCCTCCTTCCCGCGCCCCGTGGCGACAGGGTGAGAGTGTAGTTGGAGTTGCTCTTTTATAGTGTTGTGAAGATGTAGGGCCGCAGTCTCTACATCTTCACTGGTGGTAATTGGGGCGCAAGGTTGGAAGTCCTCCAGCGCACTACAAAAGCGGGTCCAATTTGTCTTCATTCGGAGACTTCTGGGCACCATGGCATCCACACTGATGTCGATAGTAATCAGCACGGGGAGGTGTTGTGTATCTATGTCATACAACACTTCTAACCGTGTTGTATACGGCACTAGATGACACAGCACAATATCAAGAACATCGGGCTTATGTTCTGGCTTTGTCGGGATATGGGTGGGCTCATCAGGGCCCAGCACCTCGTACCCCCACTCCTCGGCGTCGTCGAACAGTTTCCTGCCGGGTGGTGTGATCAGCGCGGAGCCCCAAGCGGGATGTTTCGCGTTGAGGTCTCCGGCGATTATTGCGGGTGTCGTGGAGTCAAATATGGTACGTATGTCTTGGGGGGCAAATGAGGTGCCGGGAGGTCTGTAGGCAGCAAAGATTCTAATTTCTCTGGTGCCTACCTTCAGCCTTATACCCTTGGTTCTGGTGGATATAAATTGTGTATTGGTGCCAACTTCTTCGTGCATGACGTCCCTCCTCACAAGGACCGCAGTACCTCTGTACGCGATACCTTCTGAGGAGATCTCGTCATGTCGGTACACGAAGAAGTTGGGGAGTTTTAATTGAGCAGAGGGGCGCAGTTTGGTCTCCCCCAGCAGCACAATTTGGATATTGTGCTGCTGGACCAGGGTTCTCAGGTCGGCGACCTTCCCTAAGATGCCGCCGGGGTTCCAGTAGACCATCCTAAGTTGATGGCCTGCTGACAGATGTTAGTTGGGCTAAGGCCGTTAAGATGGCCGAAAGGGGGTTGGTGCCGGTGGTCATGGCAGTCAGGACCTCTCCTAAGATCCTGATTACCACGCCCACCAGTTGAGCGAGGGCCTCCTCGATGGTGGTTGGTGCCTGGGGCTGTGTTAGGGGTGTGACAGTTATTGTCCTTTTGGGTGGGCGTTGATCTCGGGGTTGGGGTGCAGATTGCTCGTTCTGATTTGATGGAGGGAAGGTATATCGCAGTTGTGGCAGAGGTAGTCGCTGTTCATTGGTGGTGTTGGGTGGAGGAAGAGGAGTTGAAGTACCACCCACTTGAGCTGTTTGGGTGGTTGCCTTCTTCTTCTTCTTCTTCTTGCCTCTTTTCCTCTTTGGGCGCTCTATGCGCTCCATGGGATCATTCGCCGGTGGAGCTAATGTCGCCCCAGTCGTCGCGAATGTAGTAGGCGCTGGTGCTAATGTCACCTGCCGCTGCTGCGGTTGAGGCGCCTGGTGTTGCGGTTGCTGCTGTTTTTGCAGCTGTTGGGGTTGGAGTTGTGTTTGTCTTTGGGGCAGTGGTGGTTGCCACTGTTGTGGAGGTGGTTGTTGCGGTGCTCGTGCTGGTTCGCGCTGCGGGGGCATGGGAGGCTGTATGTTGATGCCTCTTTTCCTCGCAATTCGCTGCAGCACTGGGCATCGCCTGTCGTTTGCGGCGTGATCCCTGCCGCAGTTGGCGCATTTGGGCTGTGTATCTCTCGGTTGTGGGCAAGCAGAGGCAAGATGGTCACCCGCACAGCGTACACATTTGAAGGGCCGGTAGCAGTTGTAAGATGCGTGTCCGAACCCTTGACACCTGTGACACTGCGCAGGGCCAATTCTGCCTGTCCATCCTTCAATTGTAACTCCCGGCATGTAAAGGAGCTCATCAATTTTGTACAATCTGTTGAGCTCTTCAGGACTTAGGTGGTTCATCTTTACATGAAAGAGGCAGCCAGGCCTGCCTCTTTTTGGTGGTATTGCTCGGACAAATGTAACTGGAAAGCCCTTCTCTATGAGGGCCTCCTGTATGTCCTTTGGATCAGTGTCGGCAGGGAGCCCTCTTAACCCCACCTTCGTGGGTTGCTCCTCCTGTGGGGCGTAGCAATACCACACGAAGGTGGCGTCCTCCTTGCTTTTGTCAATCAGGTACCGTTGGACCTTCCTATACTCGTCGTCGGACTGGGGCCGAAAACGGACCCCCTTCCCAAACGGGCGAGCATTCGGGGCGTGGCCCAACAGCTGATGTATGATTTTGAAGTGCTTCGCCCAATTGGGGAAGCACTCCACTATAATTGGTGGATATTTGGTCGTTTGGCTATTATCTGATTGTTGTGGTTTTTGTGCAGGTGGTGGTGGTGGTGATGGTGGCGCTGATCTCGGCGCTGCTGCAATGTGCGCATAGGAGTCCGGCGCTGACGATGGTCCAGGTATGGGTTCATAATTGGAGGTTTGAGCATCTTGCATAGGGGCAAGGGTAGCGTAGGACGTATTGTCCCACTCCCTCTCCCCTTCTGGATCCTGCTCACCGAAATCCTGCATGTCAGCGGTGCAGGCCGGGGAGGTGGTTGGAGACGGTGAGTTTGGCGGAATGTTATGTCTTACCACAAGTTGTGGGGCTTGTCTCTCGGGTGGGGTTACCGAGGAAGGAGGCGATGCCGAATCAGATAATGAGTCTGATCCGGCTCTCAGCCTTTTCTCCTCTTGGAGCTGGTCTTTGTCTATTTCAGGAGGTGTACGTCTCCGCGAGGCTTGGCTCCGGCGTGGTAGTGGCGCCGGTTCGACGCTAGGTGGAGACACAGCTTCACCAGCGCCGAGCGCGGTGCCAGTGGCCGATGAACTACCAATCCGCCTCGGGAGTTGGCTATACGGTGGGAGCACTCTTGACCTCTCAGGAGCGAAGAGGTCTCGCTCCATGAGGGGCCTGTCGAGAACTCCCAGACGCCTGTCGGGTGGTTTTCGGCGTGTTGGGGGAGGTTCCCCCTTGTCCGACATCACAAATTACTTGTGCTAATTACTTGTGCTCAGCCCTTAGCTATCACACACCTTACTCCCCTCAGCGCGTGCAACCACACCGGGTGAGACCCGTGAGGGAGGCCCAGCGAGGCGCCCGCGAGCAGGGAGGGGTGTGTGAGGCGCAGATGGGATGGGCGTTATCTCACAATATGCGGAACACTTGCAAACACTTTTTATAATAAAAAGAGGGTACAGTGTACAAACAAGATAAAAACGCAAAGTAGGGCACAGCGTAGGTTGTGACCTTTGCGCTTACCTTGATAACAGCTCGATGCAGGAGATGCGCCAGCGACGCCTCGACGCCAAACGGAGCGAACTCGACGTCGGCGGAGTCAATCACTAGCACAACACGTACACAACACAGGAGCGCACTAGACACGTCCGCACTGTAGCACGGCCCGCAACGAACTGGGTGGCGACAGTGGTGGTTCATCTCCTTGTGGAGGTTTTCATGTGTCGAGGAGACCCTCTTTACATGGGCGGCATCTCAGGAGGACACGACCCCCCGGTCCTGGGTGCTGCGTTGGCAGCTTATATGTAGGTGTATTGCGCACCTCGCGCCATCACGTCGAGTGTCGGGACGCTCACTCACCCCCGGCGTCCCCTGTGCCGGGCAGTGAGCGTAGAAGTTCACGTGGGAGTGGTCGCCCGTCAGGTGGGCGGGCGTGGAGGGGAGCAAGATTTTGAAGGTGTAGGTGTGGCCCGTTGTCTGCGCGGTCGAACAACCGTCTCGCAGAACGGACCACAAAATCATGAATGGTTTCGACCTTGAGGTCGCGAGAAATGATGTCATTCCTGACGTAGCGACCGGCTCCCACGATCACCCGGAGCGCAAGATTTTGCTGGGCCTGCAACCTCTTGCGCTGAGTGGCCGAGGTCAACGCGTACCAGGCTGGTGCTGCGTAGGTCAGCCGCGAGCGGATGTAGGTTTTGTAGATACCTATTTTCGTTCTTGTTGGGAGTTTGGATGCCAGTATAGGGTATAGTTTCGCTCGCGCAGCTCTGGCCTGTCTCACAACGTGATTGACCATCGGGGTCATGCGCAGCGAGCGATCTATCTGGCATCCTAGGTACGTAATGGTACTACTCCAACCCACATCCTGCCCGCGGAGTTGCAGAGTTGGTGGTGTTCTGGCCAGCCTGGTCATGAAGGCGACGGTCTTCCCGACATTGACCGCCAGCCTCCATTTGTCCAGCCACTCAGGCAAGAGGTCGAGTACCCGCTGCAATCTCTTAGCAGCTATGTCCACCCGACGTGATGACGCGAAGTACGCACTGTCGTCGGCGTACAAGGCTAGGACAACGTCATCCTCCCATTCCTCCAGATGGCCTTGGAGGGTGGGGATGTCGTTGGTGTAGACCGCGTACAGGTGCGGTGATAGGCAGCTGCCCTGTGGCACTCCCGCAGAAATCGGTCGTGCCGCCGAAACAGCCCCTTCCAAGGAGACATGGAAGCTCCGCCCCTCCAGGAATGACGCTATTAGCCGCACAAGCATTGGCGGCAAGGTGGTACTGTGTATGAGTTTATATACTAGCCCTGCGTGCCACACCCTGTCGAAGGCCTTCTCCATGTCGAGAAGGACCCCCACACAGATGCGGCCGAAGTTATATTCGGCCGCAAGATGGTGCAGCACGCGGGCCAGCTGAGACGTAGTTGAATGTCCCCTGCGGAAGCCAAATTGCTCCTCCCGCAGGGTAACATGTGGGAGTACCCTGTTCAGGGTGATTTTCTCGAAGAGTTTTGCTATGTGCGGCAATAGCGTTATGGGGCGGTAGCTGGCCGGGGGTGGCGACAGTGGTGGTTCATCTCCTTGTGGAGGTTTTCATGTGTCGAGGAGACCCTCTTTACATGGGCGGCATCTCAGGAGGACACGACCCCCCGGTCTTGGGTGCTGCGTTGGCAGCTTATATGTAGGTGTATTGCGCACCTCGCGCCATCACGTCGAGTGTCGGGACGCTCACTCACCCCCGGCGTCCCCTGTGCCGGGCAGTGAGCGTAGAAGTTCACGTGGGAGTGGTCGCCCGTCAGGTGGGCGGGCGTGGAGGGGAGCAAGATTTTGAAGGTGAAGGTGTGGCCCGTTGTCTGCGCGGTCGAACAACCGTCTCGCAGAACGGACCACAAAATCATGGATGGTTTCGACCTTGAGGTCGCGAGAAATGATGTCATTCCTGACGTAGCGACCGGCTCCCACGATCACCCGGAGCGCAAGATTTTGCTGGGCCTGCAACCTCTTGCGCTGAGTGGCCGAGGTCAACGCGTACCAGGCTGGTGCTGCGTAGGTCAGCCGCGAGCGGATGTAGGTTTTGTAGATTCCTATTTTCGTTCTTGTTGGGAGTTTGGATGCCAGTATAGGGTATAGTTTCGCTCGCGCCGCTCTGGCCTGTCTCACAACGTGATTGACCATCGGGGTCATGCGCAGCGAGCGATCTATCTGGCATCCTAGGTACGTAATGGTACTACTCCAACCCACATCCTGCCCGCGGAGTTGCAGAGTTGGTGGTGTTCTGGCCAGCCTGGTCATGAAGGCGACGGTCTTCCCGACATTGACCGCCAGCCTCCATTTGTCCAGCCACTCAGGCAAGAGGTCGAGTACCCGCTGCAATTTCTTAGCAGCTATGTCCACCCGACGTGATGACGCGAAGTACGCACTGTCGTCGGCGTACAAGGCTAGGACAACGTCATCCTCCCATTCCTCCAGATGGCCTTGGAGGGTGGGGATGTCGTTGGTGTAGACCGCGTACAGGTGCGGTGATAGGCAGCTGCCCTGTGGCACTCCCGCAGAAATCGGTCGTGCCGCCGAAACAGCCCCTTCCAAGGAGACATGGAAGCTCCGCCCCTCCAGGAATGACGCTATTAACCGCACAAGCATGGGCGGTAAAGTGGTGTGCTGAATGAGTTTATAAACTAGCCCTGCGTGCCACACCCTGTCGAAGGCCTTCTCCATGTCGAGAAGGACCCCCACACAGATGCGGCCGAAGTTATGTTCGGCCGCAAGATAGTGCAGCACGCGGGCCAGCTGAGACGTGGTTGAATGTCCCCTGCGGAAGCCAAATTGCTCCTCCCGCAGGGTAACATGTGGGAGTACCCTATTCAGGGTGATTTTTTCGAAGAGTTTTGCTATGTGCGGCAATAGCGTTATGGGGCGGTAGCTGGCCGGGAACCTCCTGTCTTTTCCCGGCTTCGGCAGCACGATGATTCTGCCCTGCTTCCAGATGGTCGGGAAGTGGCCAGTCCGTAAGATGCCATTGTACAGACTGGTGAGTGCCACTATTACCCTTCTGGGCAGCTGCTTTATGGCTGTGGTGGTGATGCCGTCGTAACCCGGCGCTTTACGGCTAGGTAGGCGCATAATAGTGCGCCTTACCTCTGCTGGAGATATGAAATCGCCGCCTCGCAATGGCGGCGCCGGGTTAGAGAGGTATTCCCGTACGCGGTCCTCTATGCCTTGTACGTGGTCTGCGTACCCCTCTGCTATGCTGTTGGGTATGAACTGTTGTTCTAGGTGCTGTGCCATCAAGTCTGCTCTAGGTTGGGCGTCGTAAATCCTACTCCCCGTGCTGTCCACCAGTGGGCAGACAGGTGGTGGTGTCTTGGAGAGCTGCCGGTTGAGGAGATGCAGGGAGGCGGGTGTCTCCGAGGCTTCGTCGACTCGCCTCTCCCATGCTTCTCCCCTGTAAGCTCTCATTGCTTCCGACAGCTCTTCCGTCATAGCGTTTAGTTTGGTTTTGATCCGTGGGCATCGTGTCCGTGCCCAGAGCCTCCTCATCTTCCGCTTCTCGGATAGAAGCGTTTGCAGATTGCGTGGGAGTCCCTCCTTCCCGCGCCCCGTGGCGACAGGGTGAGAGTGTAGTTGGAGTTGCTCTTTTATAGTGTTGTGAAGATGTAGGGCCGCAGTCTCTACATCTTCACTGGTGGTAATTGGGGCGCAAGGTTGGAAGTCCTCCAGCGCACTACAAAAGCGGGTCCAATTTGTCTTCATTCGGAGACTTCTGGGCACCATGGCATCCACACTGATGTCGATAGTAATCAGCACGGGGAGGTGTTGTGTATCTATGTCATACAACACTTCTAACCGTGTTGTATACGGCACTAGATGACACAGCACAATGTCAAGAACATCGGGCTTATGTTCTGGCTTTGTCGGGATATGGGTGGGCTCATCAGGGCCCAGCACCTCGTACCCCCACTCCTCGGCGTCGTCGAACAGTTTCCTGCCGGGTGGTGTGATCAGCGCGGAGCCCCAAGCGGGATGTTTCGCGTTGAGGTCTCCGGCGATTATTGCGGGTGTCGTGGAGTCGAATATGGTACGTATGTCTTGGGGGGCAAATGAGGTGCCGGGAGGTCTGTAGGCAGCAAAGATTCTAATTTCTCTGGTGCCTACCTTCAGCCTTACACCCTTGGTTCTGGTGGATATAAATTGTGTATTGGTGCCAACTTCTTCGTGCATGACGTCCCTCCTCACAAGGACCGCAGTACCTCTGTACGCGATACCTTCTGAGGAGATCTCGTCATGTCGGTACACGAAGAAGTTGGGGAGTTTTAATTGAGCAGAGGGGCGCAGTTTGGTCTCTCCCAGCAGCACAATTTGGATATTGTGCTGCTGGACCAGGGTTCTCAGGTCGGCGACCTTCCCTAAGATGCCGCCGGGGTTCCAGTAGACCATCCTAAGTTGATGGCCTGCTGACAGATGTTAGTTGGGCTAAGGCCGTTAAGATGGCCGAAAGGGGGTTGGTGCCGGTGGTCATGGCAGTCAGGACCTCTCCTAAGATCCTGATTACCACGCCCACCAGTTGAGCGAGGGCCTCCTCGATGGTGGTTGGTGCCTGGGGCTGTGATAGGGGTGTGACAGTTCTTGTCCTTTTGGGTGGGCGTTGATCTCGGGGTTGGGGTGCAGATTGCTCGTTCTGATTTGATGGAGGGAAGGTATATCGCAGTTGTGGCAGTGGTAGTCGCTGTTCATTGGTGGTGTTGGGTGGAGGAAGAGGAGTTGAAGTACCACCCACTTGAGCTGTTTGGGTGGTTGCCTTCTTCTTCTTCTTCTTCTTGCCTCTTTTCCTCTTTGGGCGCTCTATGCGCTCCGTGGGATCATTCGCCGGTGGAGCTAATGTCGCCCCAGTCGTCGCGAATGTAGTAGGCGCTGGTGCTAATGTCACCTGCCGCTGCTGCGGTTGAGGCGCCTGGTGTTGCGGTTGCTGCTGTTTTTGCAGCTGTTGGGGTTGGAGTTGTGTTTGTCTTTGGGGCAGTGGTGGTTGCCACTGTTGAGGAGGTGGTTGTTGCGGTGTTCGTGCTGGTTCGCGCTGCGGGGGCATGGGAGGCTGTATGTTGATGCCTCTTTTCCTCGCAATTCGCTGCAGCACTGGGCATCGCCTGTCGTTTGCGGCGTGATCCCTGCCGCAGTTGGCGCATTTGGGCTGTGTATCTCTCGGTTGTGGGCAAGCAGAGGCAAGATGGTCACCCGCACAGCGTACACATTTGAAGGGCCGGTAGCAGTTGTAAGATGCGTGTCCGAACCCTTGACACCTGTGACACTGCGCAGGGCCAATTCTGCCTGTCCAGCCTTCAATTGTAACTCCCGGCATGTAAAGGAGCTCATCAATTTTGTACAATCTGTTGAGCTCTTCAGGACTTAGGTGGTTCATCTTTACATGAAAGAGGCAGCCAGGCCTGCCTCTTTTTGGTGGTATTGCTCGGACAAAAGTAACAGGGAAGCCCTTCTCTATGAGGGCCTCCTGTATGTCCTTGGGGTCTGTATCTGCAGGGAGCCCTCTTAACCCCACCTTCGTGGGTTGCTCCTCCTGTGGGGCGTAGCAATACCACACGAAGGTGGCATCCTCCTTGCTTTTATCGATAAGGTAGCGCTGGACCTTCCTATATTCCTTATCGGACTGGGGCCGAAAACGGACTCCCTTTCCAAATGGACGAGCATTAGGGGCGTGGCCCAGAAGTTGGTGTAAAATTTTGAAGTGCTTCGCCCAATCGGGGAAGCACTCCACTATAATAGGAGGGTATTTGGCCTGGTTATTTACTGGCTGTTGTGGTTTTTGTGCAGGTGGTGGTGGAGGTGATGGTGGCGCTGATCTTGGCGCTGCTGCAATTTGCGCATAGGAGTCCAGCGCTGAAGAAGGCCCAGGTATGGGCTCCTGGTTAGCAGGTTGGGAGTCTAGTATTGGGGCTAGAGTGGCGTAGGACGTATTGTCCCACTCTCTCTCCCCTTCCGGGTCTTCTTCACCGAAATCCTGCATGTCAGCGGTGCAGGCCGGAGAAGTGGTTGGAGACGGTGAGTTTGGCGGAATGTTATGCCTTACCACAGATTGTGGGGCTTGTCTCTCGGGTGGGGTTACCGAGGAAGGAGGCGATGCCGAATCAGATAATGAGTCTGATCCGGCTCTCAGCCTTTTCTCCTCTTGGAGCTGGTCTTCGTCTATTTCCGGAGGTGTACGTCTCCGCGAGGCTTGGCTCCGGCGTGGTAGTGGCGCCGGTTCGACGCTAGGTGGAGGCACAGCTTCACCAGCGCCGAGCGCGGCGCCAGTGGCCGATGAACTACCTATCCGCCTCGGGAGTTGGCTATATGGTGGGAGCACTCTGGATCTCTCAGGAGCGAAGAGGTCTCGCTCCATGAGGGGCCTGTCGAGTACTCCCGGACGCCTATCTGGTGGTTTACGGCGTGTTGGGGGAGGTTCCCCCTTGTCCGACATCACTAATTACTTGTGCTCAGCCCTTAGTTATCACACACCTTACTCCCCTCAGCGCGTGCAACCACACCGGGTGAGACCCGTGAGGGAGGCCCAGCGAGGCGCCCGCGAGCAGGGAGGGGTGTGTGAGGCGCAGATGGGATGGGCGTTATCTCACAAAATGCGGAACACTTGCAAACACTTTTTATAATAAAAAGAGGGTACAGTGTACAGACAAGATAAAAACGCAAAGTAGGGCACAGCGTAGGTTGTGACCTTTGCGCTTACCTTGATAACAGCTCGACGCAGGAGATGCGCCAGCGACGCCTCGACGCCAAACGGAGCGAACTCAACGTCGGCGGAGTCAATCACTAGCACAACACGTACACAACACAGGAGCGCACTAGACACGTCCGCACTGTAGCACGGCCCGCGACGAACTCGGGGTGGCGACACTATCGCACACCTTACCCCCCCAACCAAAGCTTAACCGTAAGGAGAACCGCGGTGCTGCGAGACGTTTTCTCGTACGAACACTTCTAACTTTTCACTAGAACGTCTCGAATAAAATTTAATTTTTACCGTGATATATAAATATTATCGTATTCAGAAAGTTAATACGGTATATATTTGAGATTGTGCACGTAACAGACAAACCCGTTACGTATATAAGCGATCGAGAAACGAGCAATGGATGTTTATTTTGTTCACTATATTCTGAGCGTACCATGAGCCGCCTTTTAAAATGATTTTTCTCTATTTGCTCATTAGTTTAGTTAAATTTAAATCGGTCTATTGAAAGTTAATATCCTGAGGTTAGACAGAAGGCAGAGGTCACGCCGGTAATGCATTATTCGTAATGCAACGACCTATTATACGTCGAAGGTCGTAAAACACGAAGAGGTCTCGAGGCTCACAGACCGAAGTCCCTATACAAAGCGTAGGATCTTTGAAAATAGTCTATAATATTTTAAAATTTGTCCACTGTAATCTAAAATAATTATTATAAATCATCATTATTTCTAGAATGTTGCAACACGTTCCCATACTTCTTCAAAATACGTACAAAAGCTGGGCTGGGCAGTCACGCTTCAGAGCAACGTATGTTTATAAAGCGTTAAGTATTTAAAAAAAAAAAAAAAAATGAAGTGTGATATTATTAAAATATAGTATATCATATTATTATGTATATATTAAATAATAAGGGAGATAAATAAGAGAAAAAAAAAATACAATTCGGAATTATGATAATATATTCCTAAGACGTTCGAACCATTATTTCAATATGGCGATATCTTACACTTGTTTAGTAGGTATCGTCAAATTTAAGAAGAGTATAGTCATTTAAACGTGTGTGTGCATACATGAATTGTCGTTTCTTTCATTCAGATCAGTTTTTCGAAATTATTTCGAATTAAAAAAAAAAAAAATAAACCTAATTTTGTTCTCCGCGTTTAATTGGTATATATAAATATTATGTGATGCCTTTACAGCTTTTAAATAACATAACTTTGTAGACAGACACATCTAATTCTAATATGCACTTACATACATGATCATAAACACACATACATTCGCACTTATATACATAATCATGCCATTTATACACATATCCATACAACAAAATACATGCTTGCACATATCATTTGACGATACTCTACGAAACAAATACAAGGTATATCGATAGTTTTGCGGCCCTGAAAAGGGCCTTTTTTTTTATTAACTTATACGATTAGAAAAATCGTCTCATCACGTAACTTAACTCTCAGAGTCCCGCATACCAAGTAGCAAATACACACTGCGCACATGGTGTACTATAGACGAACTTAGAGCGGACAGAGAGCCGTAGTACGTGGCGGTGGACGACGTCTCCATCGCGTATAAGAAATTAACCACCGAATCCGTAGAGGGTACGTCCTTGACGTTTCAGGGCGTAGACGACATCCATGGCGGTGACGGTTTTCCTCTTCGCATGCTCGGTGTATGTAACAGCGTCACGAATCACGTTCTCAAGGAACACCTTGAGTACACCGCGTGTCTCTTCGTAGATTAACCCGGAGATACGTTTCACACCGCCCCTGCGTGCGAGACGTCTGATAGCCGGTTTGGTGATACCCTGGATGTTATCACGAAGAACTTTTCTGTGCCGCTTCGCTCCACCTTTCCCCAAACCTTTACCACCTTTACCGCGACCGGTCATTTTCGCTTAGAGAAGAAAGACAACACACGAAATAATATATATAGAGACTTAACGTACGTTACGAACGCACGACGACAGATAGACCGCACTAACTTTTTTCCCGTTTATATAAAGTCACCCAGACGACTGAGACGGCTGAGGCGAGGGTGCGGGGAAGTATAAAATGGCGGGCAAATAATAAGACGATGGCGGGGGGGGGGGGGGGGGGAATTGGATGTTTCGTGTTGCTGTAGATGGTACCCGGAAAAAAAAAAAATTTGTCGAAATATCGTTTAAAATTGGAAGAGGTAGTTTCTATATAATAATAAATAAATTTGTCAGTTCGATACGCGCGCCATCTATTGTAAGTTTATTAGTTAGCAATAAGTTGACTAAGTTTTAGCGCAATCTGATGAACGGTATGGTAGCGCATTATATACGAACAAACAAAAAAAAAATATTTATATATTAGAATATAGAAAGGTATCTAATTAGTTACTACGTATAAGGTAATACGATTTTGTCCTGCGCCAATGGCTAGACTCTCCATCCAATGAATCCTGAGGTCAATCCGCATACTATTAAAAAAAAAAAAAAAAGAAATTAGTTAATCCCCCATTAATTTTAATACTCAAAGCCCGCCATGAAATAATGTCGCGGGGTGAACGAGGTGTGTACAACACTAGGAGCACTATGGATCCCTCGAATTACGAGAAAGAAAGACACCAACTTTATCACTACACTGTTTAATAAATAAACCTTACTTAACAAGTATACAGTGTGTACGAATACCACACGATAACAACTATTTCTCATTAACTTACAAGATTAACAATAACGCAACCATAGTGTGCCTTAAAACAATAGTGGCGCCATCTATTATTCACTAGATAAACAAAATTACTTAATATTAAACATACCGCCCACCAAGGACAATATGTCAAATTGTCCTTTAATATTCCGCCCACCATGAATACATTTTTTTGACATATAAAATTACAAAAACTTTAAAACTGAGAACACAAAATTAAAGAACATTAAATAGATTTCTAAGTAGAACATTTACACATAACAATATATTTTTTTACAATTTATTTAGTAGTGGGGAGAACACATAACTTAGCAATTGGTCGCTTGAGCAAAGAATTTTTCGTACGTAAGGTGACGACTCTAGTGATATTATCCTTGCCTGGATGTTTCACTACAATGACACCGAGAAGCCATTTACAAGGCGGTAAGTCATCTTCTTTAACGAGTACCACATCGCCTTCTTTGGGCTCTGGCGTTTGGTCCTTCCATCGGTATCGCTGTTGTAATTGATTAATGTAATCATTCGACCATCGACGCCAAAAACCTTGTAACATACGTTGTGTTAACTGCCACCTCCTTAATGAAGAAATGCTCGAAGTCTCATAATTGTAATCAGGAACAGTGACCAACGGTTCTCCTACTAGAAAGTGCCCAGGGGTCAGAAAATCATCAGATAAATTCCCTATCCTCGACAGTGGCCTAGAATTCAGGCATGCCTCTACTTGTGTAAGCACCGTAGTTAACTCCTCATATGTTAACGTATGATCCCCAATTATTCTTTTTAAATGAAATTTCATTGACTTAATTGCAGCCTCCCACAAGCCCCCAAAGTGTGGAGCACGAGGAGGGATAAAATGCCAAGTGGTACCGGTAGAGGCTAAACTCTCTGTTACCTCCTTTCTTAAATATGATTGTTCCGATTTAAACAAAGATTGCAGTTCACGTGAAGCTCCCACAAAATTTGTACCATTGTCGCTCCACAAATCTGTACAATGACCTCGCCTAGCAATGAAACGACGAAAAGCGGCCAGAAATCCTTTTGAGGTTAAATCACTTACGGCCTCGATGTGAACAGCTTTGGTCGCCATGCAGACGAATAAACAAATGTATCCTTTATAGGATTGGAAACCTCGACCTTTGGTGGTTCGGATGTTGATAGGTCCCGCGTAATCAACTCCGGATTTCTTAAATGGTCTTTCTGGTGTGACTCTAAAAGAAGGAAGCTGTCCCGTCAGTGGATTTTGTGCGGATGCAGCGCTTTTTACGCAAATTGTACATTTGCGAATATGTGCCTTAATCAAGGGTTTGACACCTATTACCCAAAATTTAGAATGTAAGTAACTTAACATTGATTGTGCTCCACCATGTAAAGTGTTTTTATGAGCCTCGTCTATTAATAATCTTGCCAAAAACCCAAGTTTTGGAATCAGTATTGGATGTTTCTTGTCTTCAGTGAAGTTGGAGTTGTTAAGCCTCCCACCTACTCTTAAAATGCCCTTGGCGTCCAAGAATGGATTGAAGGTAAGTATTTTACTACTCCTTTTTATTCTTTCTTTTCTTTTCAATGCTTTGATTTCTTCTGTAAAGCTTGCCCTTTGACTTTCCTTTATACAAGTTTCTCTAGCTTGATTAATTTCATCTTTTGTTAAAATTCTATTAATGTGCCTTTCTTCCTTCGGTTTCAGCAGGTCCAAAAATCGCCTACAATAAGCAATCACCCGAAGCAACTTATTGAGTGAAGAATATCGACTCCAAAATTCATCTTCGATTGTAACCATTAAAACTTTGATTTCTTCTAAATTTGTTTCAAAATGTTTCAATTTATTTTGTGTTATTATTTTTTCCTTTAATAATTCAGGACCATTTTGCCATAAGAACGATTGTAGTAATTCGGGCGGCCGAAGGCCTCGAGAAGCACAATCTGCTGGATTTTGCTTAGACTGTATGTGAGACCATTGGTAAGGTTCGAGACATTCAAGAATTGTTGACACTCTATTTGCCACAAAGGTCTTCCACTTGTTTGGGTGACTGTTGA